GAGGAAAGTGTGAATTAGGGCCAGTGGGAGACATGGCCTGGGAAGAGACCTGAGGCTTAGTGTGAGTAGAACCCCTTTCTATGAATTCAAAGCCACTGTCATATATTGGGACACACCCGACTTCCGGGGTGGTAATGGCAGACTCCCTCTGAACTGGAGGGACTAGCTCCGCGGAAAACAGGTCTTCTCCGCTACGGCGAAGCGGGGACCCACTTAAAAATCACAGGCGGATGAAGCCTGTGACCATGGGACTTGGCGGGCACCTTTAGCGCCCCCCAACCCGCTAAGGAACCCACTAACGGGCTCCAAAGTGAAGAGGGGGAAGTGGCGCGGTGCTGTGAGTCAACTGCTATTTCCGTGGAGTGAAGCCGCATAGCTGTTGCCGGAGAGCGCTGCCCTTTCCTGGGACAATTTGGACTTTAAAATAAGCACCCGTGAGTACTTAGACTTTGAACAATTGGACATCAAATAAGGACTTGCGAGTAGGAAAGAATCGGACTTTAAAAATTTATTTGAATTTGGTACGGAACGGAAGGTCTAAACAGGAAGTCATCCTTCCGTTCTTTTGTAAACAGAATAAAGCAAAGGTAATTTAAACTAGAGCTCAGAAAATCACTTTTAAAAGACTGGATTTCACCATTTAAAATTGTGGAACCCCCCTTCGACAGCAGGAGAAGGGGGGGACCTTTTTGGACTGTTTAAAGTGACTTTAAAGTGAAGTAATTTTCCTCCATCCTGATCCTGGAGTGGGCTGTCAGGACTGACGTGTGAGGTTTATTAACCAAAGACAAGTGTTTTTGACAGATGGCTAAAAGAAGAGAAACCTAGTGATTTCACTGTTCCCTTTCGCATTTTAAAGGATTATATATGGACAAAGTATTTTTAAAAAGGAAACTTTGTTGCAAGAATAAATAGAAGTCTTCCCCCTAGGGGGAGTTTGTGAAATTGTAACTGTGAAACTGTAACTCCAGGGAGTCGACAGCTGTTACAGATTATAACCGTGGGAACAAGTATCTGACCTTGTAGGACAATGTATTCAGAAGCCTTGTTGTATGCTCTCTATAAAACAAACGATCTACTGGAACAATTACACGAGAAGGTGAATTGGATGGCGACTTCGACTAGGAATTTTGAACAGGCAGTGGGAAACTTTGAACAGACAGTGGGAAAATATGTGGAGCCCACTCAGGATTTAAATCAGGAGTGTGTCTTGACAGAACAGGAGTCTTGGACACTAAATCAGGAGTGTGTTTTGACAGAACAGACCCAACAGGAACATGATTTTTTGGATTTGACAAATGAACTTGGAAAAAGCTATATCTGGAAAGGAAAAGTTTGGTTTGGTTTGGAAATGGGGGGCTGGATTGACCCCCCTATGCTGGGAGGTTTGGACTTTTCAAATATGGCAACGGGCTGTGAGATGTTTGGGACTGTGGGGGCTCTCAATTTTGGAGGGCCTTTGAAACATGCTTTTAAATACTACATGGAATTCATTGTTGAACATGGAAAAGGGGCTGATCTGTCGAGAAGGGTTAAAAACATTGTCAAGCTAGAGTTACCACGAGCAGGAGACAAGGGAAAATACAGTTACAAATATGAAGAAGAGCTGCGGAAGGGTCATGGAAGAGACTTGAGGGCCTCGGACATAAGGTTGCCAGGTTAATGGGCTAGATTGACGGGAATAAGGACTGATAAAACCCGGAACCAGGAGGAAGGGACGCTGGATGAAGACTGGATCTGTTTATAACTTTTTTTTTTTTTTTTTTTTACTATTAGAACTGTTTTGTAAAATTGATGAATGATAGAAAAATGTTGGAATGAAATTACTTGGCTTTAGCAAAGATGTTTAAAGAATTATGAAAGAATATTTTGATTATGAGAAGTTGGTAAGGATAAGATTTAAGTTTTAAGTTGTAAGGTTTATTTTATTATAGAAAGATAAGGTCAAGGATTTGCTGGGATAATTAATAACTAGGATACAGAGAAAGGGAGGAGGAGGAGGTCTAAGAAAGAAGGTAATGACAGTTAAGGATTTGAAAATAATGAATCTGTTTTTAAATGTTTTTAAAGTTTTGTGATTTTTGTATGCTTTTTTTTCTTTTTTTTCTGTCTTTTTTTCTCATTTGGAATTTTTTTTATATGATGGGAAGGGGCTGATTTTTCCCCTCTTTTTTCTCTTTTTTTTCTATTTTGTCAACTACTTTTATTCTTTGTACTCTTTTCTGCTTTTATTTTATTTTTCTTCTTCTTTGTAACATTTTGAAAACCTCAATAAATATTTCTTTAAAAATATATATATTGGGACACACACACCCCAATTCCTACATATACAGATGATTACCTGGTACCGCCAGCCATAATGGATCTGGCATTAAAACATTTGTTGAGCAGGAAAGCAACATTTTAAGGAGCCTGAAACCATTTTATAGCTAGTGTAGATATGAAGTCACCAGCAATTCAGACAGAAGCCAAGGCTTGAGAAGCTTGTGTGAATACAACAGAAGTACCACTTCCAGGTTCATTTGTGTGCCTCTTGAGATGTACACCCCACTAACATTTCATCTCTTCTGAAGCTTGCTAAGTGCCACAATATCTCAATGTTCTTTTCTTCCCATCCTTCCAGGTTGTGCTGATCAATGCTATTAAGGATGTGGCAAAGGCCTTGTCTGACCTCATAGGCGCAACTAAAGGAGCCGCCAGCAAGCCTGCAGATGACCCATCCATGTACCAGCTCAAGGGAGCAGCAAAGGTAAGAAATGTGTTGGCTTTCCATTTGCAAATTCCACACCTGGCCATCTGAGCTCGGTAGGGACCTCACCTGTTCTCCAAGAATTCTCAAAGGTTGTAGACAAAGGCTCTGAAATTAAATCCACACACTCAGTAGGGAGTCACCTATCATCATCACCACCATGTCTCTTCCTCCTCTGGGGAGTGGCAGGAATCATTCTATGGACTGTTCCTTCCAAAGGCTGCTTGGAATGTTCTGGGGTCTGTGCCTGCTTCTCCTGAGTTTTCCCCACTTGTCTATTGAAGCTTAGTTTGATACTGTTGGGATAATTTACAAAGGCAGGATGGCTGCTTGAGCATTCTGTGATGAGAGCTGGCAGTTGAGCAGTTTCCTTCTCCTGACTTTCCAGGTAATGGTAACAAACGTCACATCACTACTGAAGACTGTGAAAGCCGTAGAAGATGAAGCTACGCGAGGGACAAGAGCGCTTGAGGCTACGATTGAGTACATCAAGCAAGAACTCACGGTAAAGGCTTTGTATAATGATGCTTGCGAAATCTCTAGAAGTAGCAAGCAAACTCTAGGTCCCCGATCCAATGCATTAAAAATAAATAAACTGGGGGTTGCTGCATCTATTTTTCAGGCCAGCTCCTATTCTGTCCTCATACAGCGCAGTTCAGCTTTTGTAAAATTTACAGTGCAATGCTCTGCATGTCTACATTATAAAAATATGTGCACCCCACCACCAGATTTAGTTCCAGGCAATTTACAAAATTAACATATCAATAACCATTTTTTCAGTAATAAAAACAACAAGCAAATTAAAGCAGTGTTCAGCACAATGTTAAAATGTTTAAACTACAATCCTAGAACAGTTAATTGGAAGTAAGTCTCATTTAATTCATTGATACTTAACTTCTGAGCAGACATGCATAGGATTATGCTGTAAAATAGTTATGTCTGCATGTTTTTTGCTGTACTTAATTGCTGTTTTATTGTAACTAAATTTGTTTGTATGGCCATTCTCAATTCTAATTGAAAAGGCACCTACTCAGCAAAGGCTGCTTCAGAGGCTGTGATTTTATTTTTATTTTTAAATGAAGTCTGTGAGCAAGTCAACTCTAGCCAGCATTGTCAGTGATCAGGGATTATGAGAGCTGTAGTCCCTCAGCATCTGGAGTGCCACAGATTTCCCATTCCTGATATAAATCATTATGCAAAGTTGTTGGGGCGGAGGGAGGCATTAGCATTTCATTAAAGAAATACTGTAAATCTGGTTGCTACAGTGTGCAGACTGGCTTCCTTCTCTCCATAGAACTGGAACCATCATCCTGTGGGTGGCAAGTAGACATAGTAGGCTGTCAGTGGTCCATGTCTAATATTACTCTGATTTAAGAGTGGCTTTCTTCAGCCGCTGTACATGAGATTCCCATCTTGGTACCTTATATGCTATCATGTCGGGGTGTAAGTCAGGTATACTGCTGAATGGATGTAGTGCAGGCCCTCTAACATTGGAGGAAGAGAAGACCCGCTTCTGGGAACCAGAAGAGAAGGGTGAAATAGACTGGTAATGAAGGAAGTGGCTGGTTCCTGTGTCCAAGTGGAGGCATGTGTGGTTCTGTCCAAAGAATATCAGGAACACAAACCTCTTCACTGGGAGATGATTTTGTTTGAGGTGGGGGGGGGGAACCAGCTGTTTTCCACTTAAATGCCTTGCTTTTTGACATTTTGGAGGCTGTTTCCACGCCAGAGTTTAACCCTTCCAAACCAAACGTGTTTGGGGCTGGGGGCTTGCTTGTAGGTGTTTCAGTCAAAAGATATTCCTGAAAAGAACTCATCACCTGAAGAATCAATCCGGATGACGAAAGGCATCACCATGGCGACAGCCAAAGCCGTAGCAGCTGGGAACTCATGCCGACAGGAGGACGTGATTGCCACAGCCAGCCTGAGCCGCAAAGCTGTAGCTGACATGCTGACAGCTTGCAAGGTACAGACACATCGCTGAGCTGAGTGGGAGATTTGCTCTTCTCTTTGAACACCTCTCCCCCCAAAAATCCTGGTACTGGTACGTTGGTCTGGGTTGCCTGGGTTGATCTTTCTGGAAAATACCTGAATGAAAGGATGTTGTTCTTGCAAAACAGATTTGTATTTAAATAACCTTTAAATAAGTGAAAATAAGTTTTTGTTGTTTGTTGACCCATTTTGGTTGTTTTTTTTCTGCTTTTAAGACTGAAAGTTGAAATGAGGTCATTGGTGAGAGAGAGAGAGAGATAGATGATAGATAGATA